AGGCACGGAGCTCGCTGCCGATCAACTTTGGGTTCAGGTTGCCAAAATTAAAAAAGATTGCGATTTATTTGCAATTACCTTAAAGTTGAGATTAAATTGCAAAAAGCTTAAAGGTTGTGGTTTTATTTGCAATTAAGCCATAGTTTAACACATCAAGTTCCATAATTATATATAAATATCATAATGTCCACTTAATTGTCATGAAGACATTCATTTCTTGTTCTAAACATAATGTATACAAAATCATAATGAACAAGAAATTCGATAATAGTTAGAAACGTAACATCAATGAGCTCAAGAGTGTGCCATAACATCATCATAATCAATCATTAATACAACCAAGACCCATTCTATGTACATGATCTTTAAATGTCTTTGGTTGTAGTCCTTTAGTTAACGGATCAGCAATCATAAGGTCCGTTCTTATATGTTCAATGCACACTCTTGTTTCTGAACTTCCTCCTTAACGGCAAAATACTTTAATTCCATGTGTTTTGCACCCTTGGAATATTTGTCGTTTTTGGAGAAGAAAACTGCTGCGGAATTATCACAATACAATTTCAGCGGCTTGGTAATGGTGTCGACAACCTCAAGTCCCGAAATAAAGTTCCGTAGCCATAATGCAAGAATTGTAGCCTCAAAACAAGCCACAAATTCAGCCTCCATAGTAGATGCAGCTATGACAGACTGCTTGGCACTTTTTCATGAAATTGCTCCTTCAGCGAGGAGAAAAACATAGCCAAACGTTGACTTGCGACTGTCAAGGCACCCAGCAAAATCTGGATCTGAATATCCAATCACCTCAAGGCGATCAGATTTCCTAAATGTGAGCATATGATCCTTCGTCCCTTGAAGGTATCTCATCACTTTCTTTGTAGCTTTCCAGTGATCCAATCCATGATTACTTTGATATCGACCAAGCATTCCAACAGCGAAGCTAATATCAGGCCTCGTGCAAGTTTGCAAGTACATCAGACTGCCCACAACAGAAGCATATGGAATTGATTCCATACTCTTTCGTTCCACATCATTCTTAGGGCATTGCATAAGACTAAACTTGTCCCCTTTCTGTAATGGGACAATACTTGGTGAACAAGTGTTCATACTAAATCTCTCAAGAATTTTCTCGATATATGCTTTCTGAGACAACCCCAACAATCCTTGTGATCTATCCCGGAATATTGAAATTCCAATCACATAGGATGTCTCTCCCATATCTTTCATTTCAAAATTCTTTGAAAGAAAATCTTTAGTCTCATGCAAAATTCTCAAATCATTAGCAGCAAGTAGGATATCATCAACATATAGAACCAAAAATATAAACTTACTCCCATTGATCTTCTGGTAAATACACCGATCAACAGTGCTTTCTTGAAAACCAAAAGACGTGATGGTATCATTAAACTTAATATACCATTGTCTGGAAGCTTGTTTAAGTCCATATATTGACTTCTTGAGTTTACACACCATGTGACCTTTTCCTTCAATGGAAAAACCTTCTGGGTGATCCATATAGACTTCCTCATCTAAGTCCCCATTAAGAAAGGCCGTTTTTACATCCATTTGATGTAACTCTTGTAACGCCCCGTATTTTATTAATAAAGGAAAATACTAGCTTTCAGTTTAAGCTAGCCTTTGTTAATAAATAGACATGTTCAAGTTCAGTTGATCAGTCAGTCATATCCTATGTTCGACTTTTAGTCGACAAGTTATTCGGTACCAATTTTTAGTAACCGAATGAGTTTTTCCAGATTTAATTCCGATCAGGAATTAATTATTCAGTCAGCGACATTTTGTCAGCTTATCAGTATAATTCATGTTCTAGTTCCGATATTGATTTTCGGAATTAATTAATTCAGTCAGTTCAGTCGAGATTACCAGAAAATATTTCCGACGTACAGTTTATGTTCGGAATAATTTTGGTAATTTAGCATTATGTTTAATTGGATAATTAAACATAATTAAGTGATTAATTTAACTTAATCATGAGGTTAGCTAAGTTGTTCGGATTTAAGTCCGAGCCATGCCTATCGCCGTGCGTTGAGTGCGTTTCATGCCGTGTGCGAGTTTTGGTCCAAGTGCATTAGCCATGCCGCGTGGTAAGTGGGTGCGAGTGTTGCGGACCGAGCTCATGCGTTTTGCCCGTGCGGAGAATCCGAGGCATGTGTATATGCCGTGCGTTCAAGATCCCCTCCTAATGCTCGTCATGAAAGCCGTGCGCCACATTTGGCCTTTTATGGTGTGAGTGGCATAGTCAAGATTCTCCCCTCTTTATCCGTGCGCCCTCATTGTCCTCTTGCGCCTCAAGATATCCGTGCCATTTGTCCGCTAGTGCCGTGGGGTTAGTTGCTTGGGCGGAGAGTCCTAAGCCTCATGTGTAGCCGTGCGTCCTCTTGTCCCTTATGCCAAGCATGTCCGAGCATCTTCTCTCCATTTTATGGCATCTTCACGTGGCCAAGTGAGGACAAGAGAAGTTTTGTCATTGCCTTGCATGGGGTGCCAAATGTCAAAGCTTTGACCGAGTGTCCCTCACGCCCTATGCCTTCGGTGTTATTAAGTGAGGACTTGGGGAGTTTTACTCCATTTTTCCCCTCATAGTGCCGAGAGATAGAGTAATATTGAGAGTGCATTTGTGTGAGTTGTTCGGGAGAATCTTACCGAGAACACCACACGCATCGCCGTAACCACCGCACGCCCGAGAGCCATCGCGTGTAAGCAGCAGCAGCCGTCGCTACCGTACGCGAGCCATCACGCGTCCGAGAGTCATCGCGCGTAGCAGCAGCACCGTCTCGCGTATCGCAAGCAGTACCGTACGCGAGCAACAGTCCGAGTGCGCGCACGCACGCGGAGGTCACGGCCGAGAGCTCGAGTGTTCGAAGAGCTTAGTCCGAGGCTTAACAAGAGGTAAGTTTCCATCAAATATTGACCGATAATATCATGATTTGGTCATGCATGCGTGTTTTGAGTAATTGTACCCGTAGCCATGCGTTCATGTCATGTTAATAAATTAATTCACCGAATCATGTTTTTATGTTCAAGGAATTCACCGAATAACCCTCGCATGCTTAGCTTTTATTTGTGAAATCATGTTTAATTGAGCTTAAGTATTCGGATGATTTTAGCCATTTTAATGGAGTTGGTCGAGGAGGTGTGGTCGCACACTTAGTGCGCACCACGGACCGCTCTCGCATGACATTGCAGGTTAAGTTAAATTCTCCGGCCATCATGCATTTTCATGTTAAGCATGTAATGTTCAAGTTCAGTATATGTTAATTGCCGAGAGAATATGTAATTCGGCCGTTAAACGGCAAGACGCCGTCGG